CTCTCCTTCTCCATTCTTCCATTCTTTTCATTCTTCCTTTTTTCTTTCATTCACTCTTACTTTCTTCCTCCCTCCCTTCCATCCTCACATCTTCCTTCCTTCCCTCTCACTACTTTACTCTTCCTCCACTCTATCTCATTTTCTCCCTTTCTCCCTCTCACTACAACCCTTCTCTCCCCTCCTTCCTCTTCCCTCTCCCTCTCCCTTCTCACACTTTCTTCCCTTTTGCCTCTTTCTGCCCCTCTCCCTCTTCCACACTTCCTCTCTCTCACACCCACACACCGTTATCTTGTAATTATCAGTAATAGGTGCTATGGTTTGCTTTTATTTTTTTGACAATTTGTTCCTACTGTTATCTCTATTTTCGTCGTGTGTCGGTTCTTGGTATTTCCTTGTTGTTGTTGTTGTTGTTGTTGTTGTTGTTGTTGTTGTTGTTGTTGTTGTTGTTGTTGTTGTTGTTGTTGTTGTTGTTGTTGTTGTTGTTGTTGTTGCTGTTGTTATTGTTGTTATTATTACTGTTATTGCTGTTGTTGTTGTTGTTGCTGCAACCAATTACTACTGTTATTGCTATTACCAAAATTACTGTAATAATACTGACAACGATGGTGATAATGATAATAATAAAAATGATAATAATGATATGATATTGATGATAATAACAATAACAACAATAATAATAATAATAATAATAATAATAATAATAATGATAATAATAATAAAAACAATGGTGGTGGTGGTGAAGATGATTAATATTAATAATAATAATAATTATAATAATAATAATAATAATAATAATAATAATAATAATAATAATAATAATAATAACAATAATAATGATAACAATAATAATAATAACAATAATAATAATAATAATAATAACAATAATAATAATAACAATAACATAATAATAATAATAATAATAATAATAATAATAACAACAACAACAACAGCTGATACAAAAACACGCGAGGGCAGGCCAGGCTGTACAAGACTGGTCAAACAGGACGTTCCAAATGAGGCAGCCGCAGCCGCGGCCGACATGCCGCGTTCCCTTCTGCTCGCAATCTTGCCAAGGGCAGTCGACGTTCCTCTGAACTGCGACACGAACGAAAGGGCTGCTTATCCTACATTAGAAGACAGAAGATTCCTATTCCTTTGCATCACGTGATACATTTCGACAAGCATATCTCCCCCGTGGAAAAATGGAGTGTGTTTACGAGGCTAAGAAGGTCGCACGGGGATGTTGCACAAAAAGTAGCCAGCGCGAAGGACGGGTCACTAGACCCTTTGAGAAACTTCCTTGCCGACCAAGATCCCGCATCCCAGGGTGACACGGCACGCCCCGCCTCGTCGTCGCTCGGCAAAGCGGGCCAAGAAAATGCCAAAGGGCGCGTGGAGTAGGAAAACACAGCAATGGTCTCTGGACGCGTAACAATAAGACAAACAGAGCAAAGATGTGAAAAACAGAAGGGCAAAACGCACCAAACAGCACATAGATACAAAGCGTGAATGGAGAAGGACAGCAACAAATGAAGCAGCAATTACTGTGAGAAACAAAAAGAGCACACGAGGACCATCAAAACACCAAAGGCTAAGAATAAAAGCCTCAAAACAGGACATCATACTACTTGCAACAGATCGTATACGGAAAAAGGCTAACTGTAGATTTCACAAGAGATGCAACACAAAAGCATATAATATAGAGAGTTGACCCAGCTTTCCCTCTTACGTCGCCTGTGCACCGGAAAGGTAATGCAAAGTATTGGTCCAGCACCTAGTGTCCTTTTTACCTTAGCAAGCCTTGTTACCCGAACGCAGGATGGCATGCCCAAAGACGCCTATTAGACGTATCATCTAAGCTGGAACCATGGCAAATACCAAATGCTGAAATCAAAAATGATTTGAAAAAGTTTTCTACCCTGATAAACCCCAGTGGAACACATGGCATAACAGCCCCACAAAATAAGTGCTAATGATATCCGAGGGACAAATATGGCATCGCAAGAATTACAACGATCATGAACGAACCTTCATGACTCTCCCATCTATCCATATGGTTCATTGTTCAAAAGGCCTCTAGAAAACTAATGACACAAGGCTAAAACAACAAAACGACCATGCGCGAATGTTCTTATCGTGCATGAGCCTTGATGTAAATGAACCCCGGTAACTCTAAATAAACCCTGGCCGACTTGAGCAAGGTCGCATCTGGCCACAAGGACTACGTTACGTAACCAGCTGACCTGCGTGAACCTGATGACCTCGCGTCAACTCTTTTGAAACTATAACAAAGTCCATTTCCGAATAAGCGCATGGAAAAGTAAATCTACAGTGTGCTAGAATGGTCAATATGATGATGCTATGCTCTGCACAAGCTCTGCTAACTCAACAAAAGCCTTGTGACTGCCTGCTGGCTGACCTACCTTGCTGACACTCCTGGAGCGTGTGATTCTGCGCCCCGCCACCAACAGGGACACGACCGGCTGCTTCAGGATGGCCAGGCTCTCTCTGCGCCTGAGACCCGGACTGAGCATGGAGTCCCTGA